TCAATATCCTTACAACAATAAACGACACTTGTCAATTGTATAAACACACCAATGAAAATATAGGCTAAACAATAGTATTTCTGTCACGTGGGTTCATTCCTCAAAAATTACCTCATTGTGGGGTTTTCAACAATATGTCAACAACTTTTAAGAAAAACTTCACTGAAAGTTTTTTTTTCTTTGTACCGCACATATTTTTCTGATTTTAATGTACCATTTCATGAAGACTTGCAAAATTAGCTTGTTTACAAATTTCTCATCATTCTCTCATCCGTTTTTGAGAATTAACCTTTTTATTTGCAAAAGATCCCTGAATGGAAAAACTCTGCAACTTTTTTCTCTCAAATTTGGCTAATATTCGCATTAAAAATTATTAACAATTTAATTATGAGCATATTTCTGGTATTATCCTTTGCAGATTTTTCAATTTTAAGTGTTTCATTTGATATTTGTAAGAATGTTTTTAGGCTTTTTGACATCAATGTAGCTCCTTTATAAAATGTTTTGTAGGAATATATAGCGAAACCAAGTTTTTAATGTTGTTGATATTTTTTGTAACCAGTCGACAATCTATAAGGGTCTAATACCTGTTATCCCGTTCCTTTGACCTGATTACATAAAATTCGCTATGCAAAACATAGCTAAGATTTATACGCCGCGTATAATGTTATGCACATGATCGTCTCTCTGTCTGTTAGTAGTTTTCGTGATCTGTCTGTATGTTTTGAACAAGTGGAAGGAAATTTTAACAAGAATAAGAATGTGTGCAGAGCGCAGGGTTGACCTTTTCTCAGGTAAAAGGTCACACTTAGACATTTTGTATCTATTTCAAAAGTTCGTGTCCTTTCTGTATTTTTAGAATCGATAGAAAACAAAAGAAACTTGTTGGCAGAAATATTACTTATAATGACACGGTGTACATAACACAGCTTATGACTTCCTTGGATCAATATTGGTCTTACCCTGTTGATTAATATGGACTTATATCGGAGCTTCGTATCTGGTCTGTATCTTTTGAACCGGTGTAAGAAAATTCAAACTATTTGGCAGAATTATTTAGCATTATGAAAACGCAGATTTGACATTCCTCAGACCAAGGTCACACTAAGACGTTTTGTATCAATTTCAAAATGTGTGCTTTGAACCGATAGAAAAAAAATAAAAATTCAAAATATTTCTAGAAGATGATACTATGAATTTATGTATGACTTTTAGCATTGTCTTGAATACCACTTTAAAGGTTTTATAAATGATTCATTAAGGGTAAATATGCCTCCACCTTGGAGTTCATATGGTGTCATAAGGATACTTAAAGGCACATTAAGGCCCCCGAAATGCTATCGACGTTATTTCTAGTTATTTCTAAAAAAACTTTTTTTTAATTTTTGGTATATTGTTACAGTTCCAAAACGTTATTCATAGTCCATATAGATGAATCATTGTTTCTCCTTTTGCTTTTAAATAATTGGTTTGTTTATGGTGATTTAGTATTTTGTATGAAAGTCAAAATACTACTTTGTTACATTTTGCAACCTTTATGACACATTTTTACACGTACGTTCAGCGTTACTATCTTTTGTTGTTAACCATCTTCCCTGTTCTAAATCCATTATTAAAACATTATTGAACACATGTTTGCTTTTTCTAAAGAATTAAATTCCTAATCACCTGTGACTTCTTAGGCATACTGTGTCTTTAAGATAAAACATTTTTCAGACAAATTTCTAGATTTGATCTCTTACCTAATTTAAGGATTATTTTTGATTATTTAAACAAATTTATATTCGGGCGTTATTTCCCCGCCTTTGCGGTTCTCGTGTTTATCATGGTTAGAAAAATGTCACGAAATAATATAAATATATCAAAATTTTAATTTACAATATTGATGATTCATAAGTAAGAAAGCAGCCTGTATGTAGATCTGTTTTGTTATATTGAGGCCAACTTCAGATTTTTAAGTGTAAGAAAATAAGTTTCATATTCCAAAGGTGCATACTTTTATAGGATTAAGAACGAACAGTAAAATACTCTGAAAAAAAATGTGGTTCTATATCATTTATATGTAACTTAAATTTTACTTCTACATTTCATACTGTAGTGCTATACAGTCGTGTTGATAAAACTGTCATGACAAGTGACCCATTTGGTACGAAATAATTGTTCGCATTCTAGTTCTAGGGACGTTGCAACATGCTTTTATAAAAACTTAATTATAAGATAATATAAGTTGATGATTACGGAAATAATGTAATACAATACTTATCTTTTTTGGGAAATAAGGTTTACGTTAGTATTGTACCATTATATGGACCAAACTCTGACAATCAATTATTTTAGTTTGAGAACATTTTCAAGATTACTGAGAATAGAAAAAGACTCATTGTTATTGACGCGATTAATTTTTTTTTGGTACTGACGCGATTATAATTTTGTGCAAAAATCCTGATTAAAATTGTTAAAACCACAAAATATAGATGATAGTTATGCAAGATTAACTATTTTGAAACATATGGTAGAAAAAAATGTTTAACTGTACTTCAACCTGATATAGAGCGATATACTAGTACATTGCGGCTCGACATTTTTCTTTAAACTCTTTTTAATGTTATCATACTGTGAAAATGTTTTTATAAAACCTAGTTTTCAGTGTGACAATTTAACTGTTAATATATATATTATAATACACTTACAATTTAGCAATTTGAAACATGAATAAGAATTCTGAAAGGATTCTGAAAACACAACATTTTTTGCGTAAAGATTTTCAATATGATTATGAAATAATTAAAAAAATACGGAAGCGTATCAGGGCCTACAGTTGGTGAGATGTTTTGCGCTAAGTCGACTTATTTTTATTCGCATTGATAAGATGTTTTTGCATTTCGCAATAAAATTTACAGACAAAGATGAGAAGCTTTTAGGCATTGCAACTGAATTTTTCTCGATATGTTTGAAGCTTTTGTCTCTTCGACAAAAATCCTGTCGAAACTTCTTGATTTCACGACTCTGCTGAAATATTTAGTAAGACGCAAAGACGTTACTCGCATTGACAAATAGCTCACGTAATTCAACAAAGTTTTTTTGCAATGATTAAAAACTTCTAAGAATTACGGAAGTCTTCATGGAATGTTTTTGGTCAAAACGAGAAGAAACAAGTTAACATGACGTGAAACTTTTAGATAAGTGGAGGCCCTGATAAGCTTCCGTAAAAAAGGTAAAAGACGTTCAAAGCAATATGCTCTACCCGTATATAATTTTGTTACATATGAAAGTGTTCTGAATGAAGGTGTACAATTTACCATAAACGATTGATTATTTTTAGAAAATTTATTTAAATAAGAGGTTAATCCATATCTTAAAGTTTTTTATAATAAAAAAATCAAGTACACATACCACAGTGACTCCTACACTATACTTTCTTTCCCTCTAATCTGAAATATTTTTTCGTCAATTTGTCTTACCTTTCGCATGTCTAAATCTAAATTTGACAAAGGCATTATATCTTACATATTGGACATGCTTAGCTCCTCTTTATGATTGTTTACATGTTATTACTTATCTCCTTGTTAATAAATGTAAGGAATTTTAATGCATGTACAATGAACTGTAATTACAGAATCTGAATTATATTTTGTTACTAAAATGAGTTGTTGAAATATTTTACAGAAGAATCCTGATTTTAATTTATGTATTAGAATAGTGTTTTGAAAATATTGACGAAGAAATCACGGCACTTTTTAGAATGGACATATTCTAACAAATATGCTGCCTTTATTCATAGGGATAAATTATTCAAAAGTTCTGATATATAAATCTTGATATTGATAATAAAATAACTATGAAATGTTTCATTATTGTTTTAATTACATATCTTGGTTCATGTTATTTTTTTTTTTAGTGAAACGATTGAATTTTAAAAAGATAATTGTCAAAAGACCTTTTTGACGACGCGGTCCGTTGCTTTGAAAATTCGACCGGGAATGGTACTTTTCTTGCGCATGCGCAATCTGCGTGGGGAAAATAGCATCACCCTACAAAGAAATGTACCAGAAGTTCATAGAAATTCCGAGTTAAAAGTAGAAAATCATATAAAAACGCTTTTAACAAAGACAAAAAAGATGCCTATATAGCTTTGTGGCCAAGATTGCCATAAAAAGGCAGGGAAAAGACGATTGTTTAAGAATTCCCCCTTAGGATCACGGACCTTACATTGAGATAATTGTTGTAAAAATGTGAAAATTTATATATTTGCAAATAAAGAAGTCAACTCAATACATATTTGAAATAACGTGTTTTAAAGCCTTTAAGTATGATAAAATGTAGTCTTGCGTTATTGCGTTTTTACCCTATGCAGAATGCGCATGGTCGAAATGAAACATCCGTTACTATGAAATTAATCGTATTGTAAAAAGGTCTATATTTACTCGTTCAAAATCAACATACTAACTACATCAAGAGGGGCGTCTTTGGCCGAATGGTTAAGGTCGTTGACTTCAATCATTTGCCTCTTACCGCTGTAGGTTCGAGCAACTTAAGAGTCTAAAGATTCTGTCATGCGAGAAAGCTATCCGAAGGTGGTTCAACTCATGTGCGCGTATGTGCCTCTGTTTTCTGTGTTGGTGCGACGTAAAACCCAACAAAATAAAACACATATACTCAATGCTCCGACAAATAATGTCGTATTTGATCAATATCTCACGTGTATAGAGTGGTACCAAAATATGTTCTTATATACTCTTCAATAGCAGAAGTCAGACAAGTTTTCCATGTATTTTTCTATCAGAAAATCAAGAATTACTGGCATATGATTTTCTGTTTGATCTTCATATTATTATTATTATTATTATTATTATTATTATTATTATTATTATTATTACATGTATCATTATTATTATTATTATTACCGGTATTATTATCTGCGTTAAGCAGTTAAAGTTAAGCTTCTTTACAAATGGCATGATAAAATCTAAAATAATAATATTTTGATGTAATCATTTTAGTACTAGCCCTGTGGTACACTACGAAGCACACTTTGGCAGGGGAACAGGACCAATATTTTTAGATGAGGTTCAGTGTATAGGAAGTGAAACAAGCTTATTTCAATGTTCGCATGATGGTTGGAGAATACATGATTGTGACCACGGTGAAGATGTTGGCATATCGTGTAAATAAGGTAACATTTTTAAATACAAAACTCATATATATAACTTTGAACATATGACAATTTACTCAAAAAGAAACATCTCTATTGTAAAGTGTTTTACATTAAATACTGTTGATAAACACGATCGGCCCAGTATAAATGACAGTAAGCTTTACTAAACGAGATTTATACATGTATAACATGTCATAGAAAATAATATGGTATTTATTAGGTAGCAAAAGTCCTTTATTTCCATGTAGATATATTATTATAGACGAACACCATGATTAACCAATAAAAATGACTTTCCACAGTGTAATGAGTACATTATTCGCGTATTTAATAAGTTAATACTGGTAACTTTGTATTTTCTTTACAGCTAAATATGAAATATGACACCAATGAATTTAAGTGTTGACTGCAAAAATTTTGAAAAAATATTTATCATTATAAAACATTTTTTATATTCATATTTATTCTTTGACAGGGTTATGGAGTTATATTTTTCCGGGCGAGACTGAAAGATATTAAGCGGGTATAATTTCATACTCCACGTTTTATCTTCAATTTATACTTTGCTTTATTATACAAACATGTATAGCCAATATTAGTTCGCCCCATAATTTTCACAGGTGTATAACTGTATGTCATCAAACATTCAAACAATATGTATGCATTTATATCATTTTTTGTTTTTGAAGCACTTGATGAAAACTTTTACTTTCATCCAATAGGTCCTACAATGTAATGTGCCCTTAATATCATACGATAAATGTATGCAACGTAAAATGTTTAATAGACATAAAACAGTCAAATGATTTGTGTTTCGTGACATGATTGTTGTTAACTACCAAATGAATACATACAAATAGATGTTACTAAATTGTTTAAGACACATATAACAAGCATTGAGTCGAATCAAATTTTCATTCCGATATTTAATATAGAATAATATTTACATAAATAATTTATTGCAAGAATAATGCTTATTGTTCACAAAAAAATAACGCATGAAAAAATAAAATTGTGAAGTTTTGAGATTTCTTCTTGTCAACATGCTCATAAGTAAGCTAAAGAAGTCGAGAACCATCATATTTAGTCATATCTTGTCAATAATTTCCTGTTAATCATGTTACTTACATTTTAGCTCACCTGTCACAAAATGACATGGTTAGCATTTGTGATTACTTTTCGTCCGGCGTCCGTCCGTAAACTTTAACTGTAAACGACATCCTCTCATAAACCACTAAGTCAATGTCATCCAAACTTTACAGAAAAGTTCCTTGGGTGGTCATCTTTGAAAATTGTTTAAACAAATGGAATTCCATGCAGAACTCTGGTTGCCATGGCAACGGAAAGAAAAACACTTAAAATCTTCTTTAAAAGCTCCAAAGTGCTAGAGCTTAGATATTAGCATGCAACATCTGCAAATAGGTCTCTACCAAGTTTGTTCAAATAAAAGCCCTGGGGTCAAAATTGGCCCTGCCCCAGGGGGGTAATTTATTTATGTTATATGTATATAGAAAAATAATCTTCGTTTCTACTATATAGACTTTAACTTAGATATTTGGTATGAAACATTGTCTCGTGGACATCTTAAAAAATTGTTCAAATTATAGTCCTCGGGTAAAAATTGCACCGCCCCGTGGAACATTGATTTACATTATATGTATATAGTAAAAAAAATAAACATAAATATCTTAATCTACAAGAGCTGAAGCTTAGTTTCCATAGCAACTTTAGTCCATAGTGACTTTTTAGCAGCCATTGACGTTTCATAGCAAACTATAAATATTCATAGCAACCAGCAAACATTAACTTTCCATACAACACGTGAATCTACCATTGAATTTCATCGCAGGGAAACCATTTATTTTGCGTAGCAAACAGTGACATCTTATGGAACTGTTGTTTTCACTTAGCAATAGCAACCAGTAACGTTAAACTCTGTAATATCAATTTAAGATTTAGATTTTATATCTGCTTTTATTTATAGTTTACAATATTACTTGTTCCTTGTCGTGGAGAGCATACATATTCAGGTGAGCGATATTAGGGCTATCATGGCCCTCTTGTTTCTTTTATTTTATATAATTTGTGTATATTAGTTAAATTAACATTAGGAAACTTCAATTTTCATTATTGCTAAGCTCGGTCCCTTGTTTACAAAGAAATTCTAAGGGTCAGGAAAAAAATATTACTGATTTTATAAGTTCCCTACCGCTTTAACCACAGGAGACTCTTCTTTACTCTGTTTCTCCGTACGGACACGCGTGATATTATGGAATGAATATCCGTGTTCATGCCGTACAAGCCTGTCTGGGGGGAAAGGGTTGCTTATGGGTTGAAATACGTTAATATGGGTTTTTTTTAGATCAAAGAATATCAAAGAAATAAGCTCGTAACGTCATCTCAGGGAGAACGTCCCCCGTCCGTCTGTCCGGCCTTCTAGGATAATATTTCTGTCACTACGGTAAACTGTACTTTCTCTTTAGTGTCTTTCATTCCGTTAGCTTTTATGATGCTTTTTTTCCTTTATGTGGCTAAAAACAAAGAGGAGATCAATGGTGTAGCCACGTATGTACAGTCTCTTAAGGACGTCCATTCGAAGATTCTGAATCCATTCATAACTAAAAAAAATCACAACAGCTGTGTTGATGACACTTGGAAGGTCTATGCGGATATACGGCCATGTTGAGATTATCCTTATCTATCCGTCTGTATGCATGTTCTTCTTCTATCCAAAGAAAATCTAGATCATGTTATAGCTAAAACGATACAAAAGCTTAATAAATAATGATATGTGGATATTTGGTCATATGGAGTATATGTACATATTTTTTTCTGTATGTTCGTCCGTCTGTCTGTCATTCTGACCATTCAAAGAAATCTAGACGCTACATTAACTTAAAAAGTTTAAAATCTGGGTTGATGATAAGATACTTAGTATGAGAATAGAGGACTATATGGATATTATGAATGTCAATTTAACTTTTTCACCCGTCAGTCCTGCAATGTGTCTGTCTGTCATTCTGCTTATCAAAATAATTCAAAAAGAACAAGGACTATTTTGCTGATACTAGTATTTGGAATTTAGATAATGGGCGATATGGAAATTATATGGATCTTAATTCAACCGTCCGTCATTGTGGTCATTCAAAGAAATGACAATTCTGCAATAACTTAAAAAGTACAAAATTTGTACAAATTAATTCGATTTCCAAAATAGTGCATAAGCATACTTTCTTCCATGTTATATTTTGATAATTAAAGTCTGAGAAAATTCTGCAAAGTCAATTTGTATGGTTTGTGGTATGGAAACAGAAAAAATACTCCAGTAGAGTTCTGCTGCATTGTCAATGACAAGCTCTTAATTTGATATTTGAAACTTTTTGAAAATTTAAGATGGATCCTATTCTTAATCCTGATCCTGATCCTTGAATCTTTGTGAACTCAAAGCCTGTGAAAAAGTAAATAATTATGTGTTTTCATTGTGATGAAGAATTAATCAAAATTGCAAATCTTCTCTATATAATATGTTTAAAATGTTTTACTGTGATTTCAATAGTTTGTCTGTAAATCAATTAGTAGCTTACATTATTCCATTTATTTCCGATAATAGTTGTATAATAGTTATATAAGCAATAGAATATTTCAATACTTATAAATTTCCTTTTGCTTAGCTATATGAAATATTTTTATGAAAATGTCAATGTGTTCAGTGTGTTAACTTAACCTATGCTTTATATATTTTCTATAAGTTACTTGTATGATATGATTTGTGCTTTCTGTAATTCTAATGTAATGAGATGTGAACTTTTAAAATTTAAATTTAAACATCAGTATACGTATCGTTATCTGCATACGTATATTTTTTAGCAATTTACATTATTTAATCATTCCGCAGTCAGAATTTAATAAGTATCATCGCAAGGGTAAATTGTTAAAAATAAACTGTGTCCATTTTCAAGTAACCAGTCAGTTTTAATAAGTTTTGTATGAATTTGTTTCTTTTGCTTTTAGATACTTTGAACATCAGTAAAATTGATTTCGTTTCCAAATTTTGAAAACATTTTGTTAAATAACGAAAACAAAATTGTTTGCTGTCATTCTTTTTTTATATCAATCAAATAGCTTATATTAGTGCATTTTCTTTTCATATTTTTGTATTATACATATTGTTAGATGCGCATAATAATATTTCGTTATTTCATTTTTGTGAAAAATTAATTAATTGTATAAGGTCAGTGTGTTTGATTTACTTGCGATATTTGAGCCTATTCATGCACATAGTAATTGAACTGTCCGTCCGTTTATCTATCTGTTCGTTCGTCCATTTGTCCTTACGAGGTTGACGTCAAACGGCAAGTTCTATATGTACCAATGGCTTCATAATTTACATATTTACTAATCAATACAAAGTACATTATCTTGGCAAGTACAATAACTATGGCTTCAATTTTTTTAGTTATTTCCCATTTCAGAACAAGTCGGCAAGTTTGATATATTTTAAGTTCTAAGTATACTCATGACTTTATATTTCCATACTTACGCATCGATACAAAGTACATGAAATTGCAAAATTATATAGCTGGCATTTATCATGTTATTGCCCTTTTTATCGATTTGAAAATAGAGCCTTGTTTAATTAACCTATTTCGGTAAGTTGAATTAATCTTGAATTTCGCCTAATTTCTTCAATTATTTAATGATATATTTCATATTTGGAAGGTGGTCATTGATGTAAAAAATAAACGTTTGGTCTCATATAGCCTTTATTTTTAAGTTGATGTCTTTTGTGGTTAATACGGGCGTGCCTAGAGAGGTCCTCTTCCTAGAGAGCTTACAGTTAGAGGTCAAGGTCAATGTCACCAATGTCAAACACAGGTTTTGACACTTGTACAGGTGTAAAGTTAATATAATGACTGATGTCTTACATTTGGTAGTAAAGTTAAGAAATCTCTTTCTTCGGATAGAGTTAGGAGTCAGTTTGGATGGGTCACCAGTGCTAAAAAAGATTCATACACTTTTACCTAATCAGCTTTTCATTATGGACAGATTTCTATATATTTGGCAGACAGATAATTTGCATGATTTTCTTTATTTTGATTGTGTCAGATGTCAGTGAGCGAGGCCAATAGTAATAGATGTCTACACATTTGCTTATACAGCTTTTATTTTTATCTGATTATTTCATATTTGAAAGGCTGATTACTTGCATGGTATTCTTCATTAAGATTGAGTTAGGTGTGAGTGGGATCAATGTCACCTGTGCTAAAAATAGATTTCTTTTTACATTTTTTGCCTATGCAGCCTTTATTTATGGACAAATATCTTTCATATTTGGTAGAAGGTATTCTGCCTTTGGATTGAGTAAGGGGTCAGTGGTTCAAGATCAGGGGTGCCAAAATAGATTTCTACACATTTACTTCTACAGCCTTTATTTATAGACTGGTGTTTTCATATTTGATTGGAACATACGTTCAATGGTCCAGTATTGGGAGTCACAAGGTCACTTGTGCTAGCAATAGATATATGACACCTTTTCATACAACCTTAGTAAAACAAATGCCAATTTCTCATATTTACAATATAAGGAACATACTTAAGGTGGTCCTGTAAGTTTGTACACTTGGCTCAAGGTCAATGTCTTTTATTTCTATATATTTGATAAAGTGTTATGGGTCAGTTGAATATTTTTCGACTTCTCCACAAGTCAAAGCAATGACTTGCCAACTCACATTTTCACAATAACAAAATGCCATGACTGTCAAGTTATATAATTGTGTTGACAAATATAGTAGTAATTTTTCTGTCCATATCTGAGTAAATGTGTAAACCTTTTTTTAAAAAAATGTTACCGACAAGAATCTGAGCCGGTGGCATTTGTGTTAAACAAACACGTTATTGTTTAAATCATACATTCTGTGCTTTTTTGTTCTCGAACTTGATAAGGGATGTAATATTATTTGCAATTTTAAGTTTCAGTTAATTTGCCAGTTATTATCTTGCTATAATGTTGTCTTACCAAACAGTAGTGTATGTTGTAAATTGTATTTTTAGCTTACCTTAGCACAAAGTTCTCACAGGTGAGTTTTTGTGATGGCAGTTTTTCCGTCGTTGATGGGCTGTTGCTTGTCGTTTCTCTACAGTCTCTTGAAACAACATCTCCTAAATTATTCAGTGGTTTTGACCAAATTCCACAGGAAATATCATCAGTTGGCTGTCTCAAAAGTTAAATAAATGGTTATAATCTATTTAAGTAGGTCATAACCACAATGCCATGAGTTCAAATATTTGGTTCTCTAAAAAGGTTATATAAATCATGTACCTGAGGTTCGAGATTGACCCCGCCCCTGTGGTCACTTTATGTATTAAGACTTATGTAGAAAATACATGTGTAACATCAATGTCGAAAGCATAGACATGTTGCATGAAGCATTACCTAGTGAACGCTTCAAAAGTAATGTAAGCCATTCTCTTTTTGTGAAAAAGGTCCCGCCCTGGGGGTTATTTAATTAAAATAAAATTTTCTTTAAACAAATCTATTGCCTAGAATTATTTTGTCCAAAGCTTAGATATTTGACATAAACAATAGTTAAATAAATCGTGCCCTGTGGTCAAAATTGGTCCTGTCTTGGAATTTACTTAATTTATAAAGACATATATAGGAAAATACATTTAAGACAATCAGGCAGAAATAATACTGTTTGATATTATTTCTTTAAACTTAGCATGTTGTTAGAATAAAATGACAGAAATATTTTGAATGTAATAAATTGTCGTCACCGATCTCACTTTTGTGTTATGTATAATTATCTGGCCTTAAATCAGAATTTTTTACTTATTTGAGGTAATTTCAAGGGCATTCAGAATAATGTTTTCGATTTGCTGTTGATCACATACATAATTATTACATATATATTTTTTCTGCTACAATTTCAGTTTGAATAAAGGGACTTAAAAGCACATTACGCCTCAGAATGAATAATTTTTTCATCCTTTAGAAAAGTCAAACATTAGATTTATAATGTTAAATTAACGGGTTTAGAACATTTTAAATGCTTATCTCTTGAAGAAAGTAGCGCTTGGTCATAGAAGTATCCGAATGTGAAAATTTAGGTTTTTGACTTCCATTCAAAACTAAATCACTATACATGTATGCTTTACTAATTGTCAAAATGCAACAGATGCAAAAGACTGTTCAGGTATT